TTTAACGCCGACAATTTCCAGAGATTCGTGAAACTTAAGTTGGTCATCAAGAATCGAAAATTCTATAGAATCACTAATAAGAATGCAAACGCCCGATTCCCCTATGTCGCGCCTGTCCTTTCTTATTATGTGACAGTTCTTTAGGTGAACTTTGGACGTGACATTTAATAGCGTTTCTTGTAGACAGATGATATCGTGTATGCCTATGAGGTTTTGTATTTCGTGAATTTTGCCCCGCAAGCCTCTACAGTTCCAAGATAGGATACTTAATGGACGATTTTTGGATCTTTTTGCTAGTCTATTGCGATAATTTTTGGAATTATTAACGTGCATAGGGGAGGGAAGAGAGGGGGGGAGGGAAGCAAGGAGAGGAGGAAGGGAGGGAAAGGAAAAGGGGAAAGGCGAAGGGGGAGGGGGGGGGTGAGGGAAGCACTTATAGCGAGAAAGCAACCCCTCTCGTGGTGGAGGGGTTGCCTTGCGAAAGAACTGATTGAAAATCCACGTTCTGAGATGGGGAGGAATTACTGAGATTGAAGAGTTCTAAAAGCTGGACTATTTTGCTTACCACCGGTGAGACAAGTCTAATAATGGATGAAATTTGTTGCAAAATTGCCGGAATATCTGTCATATTTCCAAAGCCCAGTAGCTTGAGCAGCTCGGAGATAGGGTCTGTCCCAGAGTTAGAGTATCCAGCGTTATTTCGGTGGGAGTCTTCATTAGGAATTTCTGTCGACGAAACATTCTTTAAAAGGCCTACTCCATTTCCCAGGTATGAGGGGATACGGTCGTTTGGTTCCGGCGTCCATTCCGAGTATTGAGAACGATGGGACGAATAAGTCTCCCTTGAGGGATGAGGGGGGAGACGAGCTGGGATCTCCGATCTCTTAGAGTGTTGACTGTTAGGCCTACCTGCCACAACCTGAGAGTAAGACCTACCATTTTCTGAATACGAGTCACTGGGATAATTTCGCAAAATGTCAAACCTATTAGCATGAACCGGAGAGAAATTAGAGCTATTCGAATGAGAATTGAGCGAAAGGCCAGAGTTGGAACAGCGAGAGGATGAATGGGTATTTTTCTTCTTAGCCTCGCTAAGAGGAATGTTTTGAGTTGCGGCAATTGTGAGGATGTTTCTTTGATTGGTAATGGCAGGGCATGCAATATTTGTGAGGAGGTGCTCACCCGTGCAGTTTATGCAGCTTGGTTTACCATCTTTCAATGGGCAGGCGACGTCCTCGGCGTGCGGAGAGTTCCCGCAGAAGATGCATCTCGGGGAGCTGCGACATGCCACGCTGGTATGACCCGCTTTATAACAATTGTAGCAGATCCTCACTCTTGGAATGTATGGCCGTACTTCGTGTCGAGACCAGAAAAGAACGACGTGAGAGGGCAGCGTTTGGCCTGAAAATTTTATACATACAGTACGGGATGGCACATACTGTGTCTTGCCATTAATCGTGATTTTTCTATTAAGCCTTTGAACTTCACTGATTTTATGATCAGAGATAATAGAGTTTTTGATATCATCCAGGCTGAAATCCTGGGGGACATCTTTTATGACGCCCATTCGCAAGACTCGGTAGTTAGGGATAAGCGCTTTATAGTTTACTGTGGCCAGCATGGGGTTTGACACTAACTGATTAGCCGCAATGGCAGATTTACACTCTACAGTAATCTTACCTCTTCCAAGTCTTCGCATTTCGATAATGTCAGCTGCGGGCATGATTCTTCCTACTTGAGCGAACATGCGCATGTGATGCGGACAAGAGCCATTGCCAGCAAGTGCATGGACATGCACGATGTAAGGTGCTTGGTCATCTTTGGAATAAACATTTACTTTGCCTTCTATTTTACGTTGTTTGGGATTGTCCGCACCAGATTTTCCTTTGAGTGCCGGTGCTGCAGAGGCTTCGGCTTCCATGTCTGAGTATGCCACTGTAGCTGGAATTTCTTCTTCCAGCTCGCAATGCGCACGTTTATTATTAAGATTATTTTTAGTTTTACCTTTGTAGTTGTTAATGGGCGTCGAGGTTGAGCAACGCATTTCAATGTCCAGATTATCCTCTTCTTCATTAATGTTTACTTCGTGTTAGCTATCACGTGTACAGCTACTCTGCGTCAGCGTTTTCTCCTTGTCCTTGATCTGCATGTTTGCCTTTTCTGAATGTTGTGCACCGGTAGTTACGTTGTACAAAGAACCGCCGGGATCGCGGCTGGCTGACGCAATCGCCTGTTGCATTACATTAACATCCACAGGGACGGGAATGGTCGGAAAACGAGGATTAGAGAGGTTTGGCCTAAGGGAAGATGGGTTTGAATCCTGTGATGTAGCCATTTGACCTTCAAAATGGGAAAAATGATCCAGGGGAACCGTTAAAGTCTGTTGCTGAGGGGGACGGATGGGAGGGCTGAGGTTATATTCCCCGCCCCCCTCGCCACCGCTCGAGGCCGCAGCCTCGTTCATGTCTCGCTCACACGTATTACACACTTAGATACTTAGTGATTAATGATTCTCGCGCCGAGAACTATTAGGAGAGATCTCCAAAAGCGAGTGTCGGGGAAAGTTTACAGAAAACCACACTATTACTCGAAATATACGGAAGCACCTAAGTAACACGACCGCACCATCACGAGCGCCACGCGAATCTCTCTCGTCCAACGTCTACCCGCGGGAATCCCCGATTCCCCGAAAAATTGCGAGGTTCGGCGAAACGACCCGACGGGTTTCTCGGAATCGCCGCGATCGGTGTTCCGGCGCGGCGTCGCCAAATCGGCGTCCGAAATGGTCTCGCACAAATACCGAACATCCTGCCCCCCTTGAAGGACCTGACCTTCAACCGGAAGACACGGTTCACGCAATGTTGATTACATAAAAAATAAAAAAAATACAAAATCGCTAGTGTATAATCAGAACATGTGAGTCAATTGTGGTGATTAAAATTTGTGTCAGCTTCCATGGAAAGTATCGCCAGCTTCGTCAAGGGCCTTGTCATCTGGCCCCTCGAGGTTCTTAGGGTGACTGTCCGTGCAACGCCGTTGGCGCCCATATGCACTTGTTGCACTCTTCCCAAAAGCCACTGCAAGGGCCCCAACCCTGGCTGCTGGATCATCACGAGTTGGCCGACCTTTAACTGTTCGCCCTTATTTGCCCTCCATTTATCTCTCTCAATGAGGGTATGTAAATATTCGGCGCTCCAACGCCTCCAAAAATGTTGGCGAACCTGCTCCACTCGTTGCCATCGTAGTAGTCGCCCTTCGTTTTCTTCTGTCAAATCTGAAACTGGAAAGCTGCTCAATTCTGCACCAATCAGAAAATGACCCGGCGTTACGCAAGATAAATCGTTTGGATCCTCGCTCAGAGGTGTAAGGTCGCGAATTCAGGACCGCCTCAATCTCACATAACACGGTCTGCATCTCCTCGAAAGTGAGATTTGCGTTACCCACCACGCGATACATATAATATTTCGCTGATTTTACTCCCGCTTCCCATAAGCCTCCGAAATGCGGAGCATGAGGCGGTATGAAACTCCACGCAATCTCATTAGAACGCATGAAATTTTTTATTGCATGCTGTGCTTGCTCGTCCCTTATAAATTGATATAATTCCTTAATTTGCTTATTGGCGCCGACGAAGGTGGTGCCGTTGTCCGAAAACATGTGTGCCGACTTGCCTCTACGCGAAATAAATCTTTTAAATGCGCCTAAAAATGCCTCGGATGTGAGGTCGCTCACTAGCTCCAGATGTATAGCCTTGGTCGCAAAACATATGAAAACCGAAATGTAAGCCTTATGCAACTTGGCGTTGCGTCTTTTGCCCTCCTTTACAAAAATCGGGCCGGCATAGTCTACACCTGTGTGTGTAAACGGCCGAGAAATTGTTACGCGATTCTTGGGCAAATTTGCCATCAACGCTTGCGATGCAATTGGCTTACATTTAAAACACGTCACGCAGTTACGTATAATCTTCCGCACAATCGAGCGTGCCGATAGAGGCCAAAATCGTTGACGCACAGCATGCAATGTGGCTTGTAAGCCCGAATGTAGATTTCTAATATGTTCCCTGCGTATAATGAGCGCAGTAAGAGTGTGACTCTTCGGCAAAAGCATTGGGTGTCGCGCGTCATATGGCAGTGCCGAATTTCCTATTCGACCTCCCACTCTAATTATTCCGTCCTTGTCTAAAAACGGTGTTAGTGACAAGACGCGACTCGATCCGCTGACGCCCCGACCCCCGCTCAACAATCGATATTCTTTGGGAAAAGTTTCTCGTTGCACAGCTCGTACAACAACCCTTAAGGCTGCTGCCATCTCGTGATGAGATATGAATAATTTTTTAGCCTTGAGTCGACGCGAATGTATGAACCTCAGGCAGTAGGCCACAATAGTTAATATCTTATTCATGTCTGAATACTTATTTAATAACAATAGTATAATTGACGGATCTACCGATGCCACTGCGGCAATCACTCGTTTCTGTTCGGGCAGATCAGGCGACAACGCAACCCCCACCCTTGCAGGCCACTGTTCCTCGGTACATTGGAGGAACGAGGGCCCGTTCCACCACATAGACGCCCGAAGCAGGCCCGCGAGATCAATCCCGCGCGACAATATATCTGCCGGGTTATCCTCAGACGGCACGTGACGCCAGTCCGAACTCTCAGTCAAACGTTGTATTTCTCCGACGCGATTAGCCACGAACGCGTTCTATCTACGTGACGGAGATGAAATCCACTGTAGAGCGATCGTGGAATCCGTCCATAGAATCAACTTATAACGCGATACATCGATCGATGCTCGAATCTTGTCGATCAATCTAGCCAACAGTAATGCCGCACTTAACTCCAATCTCGGCAAGGATACGGCCCTGAGCGGAGCGACTCGTGATTTGGAAATCAATAGTTCTATTCGATATCAATCGCTATTGCCCGTTCGCACGTACACGCATGCGCCGTATGCGCGCTCACTCGCGTCACAAAAGCCGTGCAGCTGAATATCACGTGCGCCGCTCTCGAGACCCACGAAGCGCGGTATTCGTAATTCGTTAAGATGCAATAGTTGTTGTTTTAAGTTCGACCATCTGTGATGAATGTCCTGAGGTAACGCCTCATCCCATTCGCATTGAGACTGCCACGCATCTTGCAAAATGATTTTTGCCACGACTGTCAATGGGCCCAAGAGACCCAACGGATCAAAAAGACTCGCGATCTCTGAGAGAATTGTCCGCTTTGTTATACGATCAACCGGTGTTCCGCAATCATATTCAAACCGGAAATTGTCATTGGAAGGATCCCATATTATCCCCAATATTCTAGACCCGGACTCTTTATTTAAGGATATCTCTGCATTGGTTGCATTTTCAATGCCTCGCAATAGTTCCCCATGATTTGAAGACCATTTGCTCAACTCGAATTGGCCACGTTGTAATATTTTTATTATTTCGTCGCGAATGCACCTTGCCTCAATTAAATTGCTAGCCCCCGTGAGCAAGTCGTCCACGTAAAAATTGCGAAGAATGCATTTCGATCCCATCGGGTACTCAGAGGCATGTTTTCGCGCTAAATGCTGAAGGCAACGAATCGCGAGGAATGGTGCCGAGCTCGTTCCGTACGTAACGATGAGGAGCTCGTATGTATCGACCGGAGAGTTCGAATCGTCGCGCCACAGTATGCGCTGCAGATGTGTCTGTGATTCATCGATTAATATTTGTCTATACATTTTAATAATGTCTGCGGTAAAGACATATGCAAACGTTCGAAAACGCGTCAATATCGATACTAAATCTTGTTGGATAGTCGGACCGGCCATCAAGGTATCGTTTAATGAAATTCCCGTGCTGGTTTTGCACGACGCATCGAACACCACGCGTAATTTCGCGCTCTGACTCGTTTCCTTAAATACCCCATGATGTGGCAGATATACGGCTTCTCCCTCGACAGCGTGCGCCGGCACACGCCTCATATGTCCCAATGTTAGGTACTCATCTAGAAATTTAGTATATAAACGTTTTAATTCCGGCTCGCGGTTGAGACGTCTTTCGAGGCTGAAAAAGCGCTTCATTGCTATTTCACGCGATACATCGCGTCACCGACCAGCCGAAATACATCCTGTTTAATCGGCAGTTTTACGATATACCGGCCCTGTTCATTAATCGATACGTTTTTTATGAAATGTAATTCACACGTTTGCTCATCCTTCGTATAACTATTCGAACTCTCCGCCAATTCCTCTATTTGCCAAAAGCGATTTACTTGCTCATGCAATTGCAAATTATTAACTGATACGTGGAGAGCACGCAACCTTGATCCCGACTGTGAGATGCCTGCATCCGCGCGTCCGGCCAAAACCCATCCCAGACGCGTTTTCTGCAAGGTGGGATGCTCCGCAGTCGCCCGTATCTGCCCCACGCACAATAATTGCCAAAATAATTCGGCACCGATCAACATATCGATATCAGACGCTATGTTAAAGCCAGGATCCGCCAACTCAATACCGGAAGGCAGCCTGAACAGTTCACGTTTTTTGCCGGAATCTTGCCCGTGATTTGATCGGTCACAAT